AAAATTGACCTGTCCGAGCGTTTTTGCGTTAAGTTACAAAAAAAGGAGAAAAGCAAGGTGCATACTTTTCGTTGGACCACTCGATATATGTATGTATGTTAGTTGGGGTCAAATCTTGCAAGTTAATTTTGAAACGTTCATCCTCAACCAAATGACATTATGGCGGACAACCCAAGATGACGAATTATTTTTACGTATTTTCATGATATGGATATCAAGTGAAATGGTTTGTTTGAAATAATAGAAAATCGCCCAAAATAGTGAGACTAGTTATTTTCGTATCCATTCCCGTGATATCAAATGGAATGGTTCAGGTGACTATTTGAAAAAGTCATTGGAATTGAAGATGTTTTGGAAATCTTCCGAGGAAAAATCTTTGTTGATTCAACAATTAATCAAATGAACAGACTCAAGATATGTCCAGCAATAACTGAGAAATGACAATTGAATTGAAAATAAAAAATAAATTGATAGAATTTTTTTCAAAGAAATGAAAAGTATAGAAATTATGTGTTTTTATGATGTATAACACATACATTATTATAATGAATTGTATCACATCAAAATCAATTCGTATTTCAAAAGTGTAACTGATCGCTGTTTGTACATGGAATATATTTCAGAAATATAAACATTTTGGGTACTCATCAATGCAATAGAACCCAAAAAGATGATTTTCCATAATTTTTGTGACAACACATAATTGATGGTGTGCAGATGGTGTTTCACTTATATCAGCAACATTTTTCGGAGTTCCATTTGTTCCATTTGATCCATTTATCTGCCTTTGAAAAATATACTCAATGGGACCTATCAAGTCGCTTGCGCTGTAACAGATAACTGCAGTATTGCATTCAAATTATTAGGTATTTTACAGTCGTAAAATTTAATCATTTTTGAGGTCCACTTCAAATAATTTAAAATTTCAGCTACTTGGAAACTCCCATTGTCATTCAGAAACAATTATTTTTTTAGGTATATTCACGGGACTATTTTGTGCAACTGTAGCAAACGGCAAAGGTTCAGTTTTTCAGGAACCCTACTTTTTGGTGGCGTTCATAATTACTCTAATTTGTATGATTGCTTTTTTGGTGATCATGACGAGACAGCCAACAGCCGATCTGGATATTACGTTTAAGGTAAGGAAATGAGGTAATGAGTGATTTTATTGTCTTCAGACAATGAGTGATTCTAAACCTTAATGATGAAATCAGTAGGTTAGGTACTCGACAGGTACCTAAAAAGGGGAAGAAACGTATTTGGTACCTATCGTTGCAATTTATAGATCAATCTTGATAATCTTTGCATACTGGTGAATTGGCGCAAGTAGTTGTGCGCCCCACATTCCTATACAAGTGATTAGGATTCTTGAATCCTCTATAGTTCTTCCAATTAAAACAGCAGGGGTTCTGGTCATCACCAGATTTGTTTATTTGCATGACTTCCGCATGTTTCCTATTACAAATTTAGGTAGCAAGCAGATAATTGGGAAGTTCATCGTCCAGATACGACATCTACTGGACATATTGAAACTATGCCTGTAAGCTGTTTTAATAAAGGTATTGTTGTGGTTTCTTGTACTTCCTGTGACTGAAAGTAATTTATTTTACCGATTCATCAGTTTCTTATGTCTTATCATGAACGCATTAATGACATTATTTCCACAAATTCACAATTATATAACTCAAAATACAAAAACCAAAAAAATGAATAAAACTTCCAAAACAAGCACTTTCCTTAATCACTAAGACTTCAATATTCTTCTCGACGCGTGTTCACCAAACAAGTTGGCGACTTTAGGAGATGAAGAAAACTATTTGCCGACTCATATCCGTTGCTTTCGGCTTTATCCCTGATAATATTTTTCTCAATATCGTACCTTCTTTCCACTCAATGGTAATTTCTTTTTGTTTTCAATTCCGTACGTAAACTTAATATTTGGAGATCTATTATTGAAAGTTGATATAAAGTTGATTCCTTTGTATAAAAAATCGCAAATAAATCATCTTCATATCGATTCCAAGTCCATGGAAAGTAATCTAACTCATCTATTATTATTAGCTATAAAGTGGGACACTGGGTTTCCATTTCCGTGCCTACATGCTGTCTGCAGACACAGTTATTGAATTGGAACCAATTTTCTTCCATGCATATTTCTGTCAATTGTATGCAGTTTTTGATTTCTTCTCCACTGTGACCATTGCCCCCCAGTAGATCCCTCAAATATCCAATAGTTTTTGGTGCAGAGACACTTCGAAACAACAAGAATACATCAAATGATATTGAAATAAATCCATCTCGCAATTTAACATCTTTAACCTTCTCTATAAAATTATGTGAATCAGCATCACTCAAACTCATTTGTGAGATTGAGGGAGTTTCCAAACTGTCTGGTTAGCTATGTGGCAATTTTGTAACTAGGGGAACTTATGGCATAGACAATTAATTGGTCGCACCGACTTGCCAGCTTGCGTATTTTTAGTAGAGCGTATATTTTAGGATCTGTTGGACTAGAAATGTGCTACTCCTATTCAATGTCAGTATGATCAAATTTTGACACTTCTTGGGCGTGTTATTTACTTCTGAAGCCAACTCAGACAATGGGTTCCTTGGTAATTTAATATAGGAACCGTTCTTGCTTAAATTAACAATTCTGTTTCAAAGTATCACAATCTCATCACCTATAGCTGCCTTTAGATAGATAATATCTTTCTCCTTCGATTTTTTAATAATCTCTATTTGTTTTATTTGTTATCAGTAGTCTTTCTCGACAATGTATCAGAAATTTGTTTCTTGTAAGCCTCCCCAAACCCTTTTGATATCTCAGGTGAGTGCTCAACACTGTGCCACAACAACTTCCAAGACACGAGGAAAAACTGATGCAAAGTTTTTTTCATCTCCTGAAGATACCCACTTGGTTGGTAAACCGCGGGCGGAGAAGAGTATTGCAGTTCTGGTGTTTTGGAAAAGTGCTTGTTTTGGATCGTTCTACACCAGAGGTTACCTTCTATTACTTTTATGTACAACATCAATTATAAAACTGTCGGTCCATATCTGTTCATTATTATAAATTGTTTTTGAACTTTTCATACACTATTTTCTATACAGATAGAAATGTTGTCAAATTATAATTTTCAATTGCTGGTTTACTACAATTGATTTTATACATAATGAAGTGATTGTAGTTTTCACTCATTCCGTAAAACTTCATTTCAGTGTTGTATTACAGTATTGTTCAAAATAACATATCATCAAGAGCTGTCAATAGGAATCACAATGTCTATGAGGCTGTTGGCTATTTATTTCAAAAGTCACCATTTCGTCTCAATACATAGCTTATAATTTTGCTTTGCAGGTACCTCTAATCCCCTACATACCCTGTCTTAGCGTAATCTTCAACTTGTATTTGATGTTAGAATTGGATCTGCACACTTGGATAAGATTTCTAGTTTGGCTCTTCCTGGGTGAGTACCTACATGTATCTACCATGATTATCATACAACGCTCTCAAACAATTTAAACAACATCTGAAGACGTTTACTAAGTAATACTTGGTGAATAAACACGACTTCTTGGAATCGTTTTCAAATTGAATTTTTGAACCAATACATGTAAAACTCGAAATTTCAAAGTTCACGTTGGAATTTTTGAAGTGATTGCCAGGATTTCATTTATGTATAATTATTATATTCATTTATTTCATGGAAATTGAAAACAACTACAGAAACGGTAGTCACAGATATAATATAGATCAAGATTTATGAATGTATTGAGTCAACAAGCAAGCGTGTTTTGGGGTTCTGAGCTCCACACATGTAACTAATATTCCAGAACGGGTAGAACTTGTGCCTTATAGACCATTGAAAGTTATTCAGGAATGAAATAACTTCTGACATGGCTCTCTCATGCTATGAGAGAGTACTGCTGATTGTGACTTCTGGGATAATGACGCTGTCTGCTGTCTCATTCAGGTGGGATACCAATACCTGACATTCCTACAGTGATTCCAAATTGGGCATAGATAATTTTTGTGTTTTGGTACAGTTGAACTATACAAAATTATTCTATTTCCATGAAAAGAAAACTGAACCACAACCGGCACAACTCTTGCAGTAAGCCACGGTCATACAATTTTTGGAAAGTTGCTGATGTCACAACGATTTGAATATACCCGAAGTCATTGCCAAATAATCTTTGTATCTCTCAATAGATTCAACCCAGACATGTGGGCATCATCCACAAGATTTTCGGCTGATGTTTAACAATAAAACCATACCGAAACGCAGTATTGAAATCCATGTTTTGTTGAAATCTACAAAGTATTAACTATTCTCCCTTTCTCCAAACTCAACTTTACGCTTGAATGGAGAATGAAAGTGTTGAAAAAAGGTTCAAGAAATCTGTTTGAGATAACCAAATCCGGGATAGTAGGCCGTACTGGTTTGGAACCTGCAGTACCAAACGTTTCGTCTGCTATTGCGGCAGATATTATCAGTGGTATGTGCGAGAACGAAGGTTATATCTCGAAATCCCCATACATAACACTGATGATGTTTTGTTTAATTGTGACTCCGGCCATGAAAGTCATGTTCGTATTTTGTATTTATGAGTAACAAAAAAATCGATTTCATCTATCAATCAATAGATTTATTAGATCTATAACCCCTGATATTGAATAAATCTAACAAAATCTCTTCGACTGGAGTGTCCTTTCTTGCCATCGAGTGGAAAACCTGATGATAACATCACATGAATTCATCAGATTCATAAATTGCGCCTGTCGACCTCCAATTGACACTATTTTCTGCAGTTGCAAACACCGGCTATTTTTTGCAGTGACGATACCGTCACCCAGTACGATATTTCTATATTTGGTGATTACATGGGCAGAGGAGATCGATATACTCCCGTAAATTCACTCAGGTTTTCGAAAAAAAAGGAAATGCATTGCATTTCACCAGCGCAATTCAGCCACAATTACGACTGAGAAAAAAAGGTATATGTTATTTTTGTAAACTATAAAGAGAGCAGATGAACGCTTTGAGACCTGTCTTTTTTGGTATAGTCGAATGGTTCAGCCTGGTACCAGTGATGAGACTCTGGCGAGTAGAGACAGCACTGTCAGGCGTTGTCAGAAGTTCATATAGTTGCATTGTAGTCCAGTCATTATAGTAAGTTCACCTCGGAATTCGAATATTGAT